AGACTAAGACTTCCAATTGTGAAAATGGTTTTGATTCCACCTTTACTTCTGACTGATCAAGTCTACGTAATGCTTCAAAAAGGACTAGCACTCATTGGCTTGTTTCTGAAGAATGTAACAGGTTGTAAGATGACTTTAGGGACATCATCACAGAGCTCCATGACAATTCTCAGACACTGAGTAGAGACGTTCTTAAAGATGTTTTACAGAGGAGAAGACAATTACAGAGGTTCAAACCCTTGTCTTCTGGCTAGTAAATGGAGAACTCGGCCCTAACTCTAGGGCCCTTTAAGAAAGAGTGAAGGGTGCTTATCGCTTCCTCCCATGTGTGTTGGTGGTATCAGCCTCCACATTTAAATTCAAGTAAGAAAATGCTATTTTAAGACCATAGCTATTTTCAAAATGTGAATATTACTCATTTTAACCTTTTCCTTTTTCACAACTGTTCTGCACAGTACCACTGTCTTGATGAGAGTGAGCATTTAAAGAAACACAGTCACTCGTTAATGCTTTATCATTAAGGGTCCCAGTTTTATCCTCGTGAGTGAAAAGTCAGCAGGGCCATTTTAATACAATGTTATAAACCTGAGAATAACAAGCTAAAATTTAGATTTCTTGGTATTTGCAAATGAAGAGCCATTGCCTATTGACCTGCTTTTGGTACGTAAACCAAGAAACCTCTTTTGTGGCTCAGATGTGGAAGGAGGTGGTGGGCTGTCTTATTCGATGTAATATTAGAAAGAGGGTCTCAATTCAGAAAACTGTGTAAAGACAGGCCCAAGTCAAGGCTTCCAAACTGAGAAAAATCTCTTGAATATTTGTTGTGAAAGTGCCTGAAACTGTGCTGTGCATACCCCAATTTGCTCCATCCTGGTTGCTCCATCCTACAAATGGAAAGGGCCAGAAGGAATAAAATGGTTTTCTTACAGGAAAAAGAAAAAGAATCTAACAGGGCAAAGTGATGATCAGGCTTTAGTGAAGTTTTTCAAACCATACCAGAAAATGCTCTCCATTTGGGAGTTCTCTACTTCTCTAGAAAAGGGGAGTCTGAGGCTGACCCTTGGCAGCCTTGAGTGATGGCCCTCCTCCTTGCAGTAGGATGGAGGTGGCACCAAATCTGCCGGACATTTGAAATGGAATCTATTTGCCACGCAATCGTGGAAATTGCCACATTCACAACCTAGGGGATTTCCTGTAATTAGCCCTACAGGATAGATACTTCATTAAAAAAAATGAGTGATGTGGTCAAGTACATTTAGGAAACTCCGGGATGGGCACAAACGAGTTTCTGTATTACTTGATTCTCAGAGTTTTGAATTATGCTGGGATGCTTTGCGGAGACGGGTGTTGGTGGTGGGGGGGGCGTAGGCAGAGTGGGATACATAGAGTGTCTTAAATGTATCTGGCCACAGAATCCTTTCTCTGAGGAGTGTCTCAAAAGCTTAGACCAGGAAATGACAAACTCTGGCCCAGAGGCCAGTTTCCTGTTTTTATGTCAATCAAGTTTTATGGGAACACAGCCACACTTGTTCATTTACCTCTTGTCTATCGCTGCTTTGTGCTACGTTGCAGAGTTGAGAGTTGACAGAAATCATGAAGCTTGAACAGGCTAAATGTTTACCACCTAGCCTTTTACAGAAAAAAGTTTGCTGACCCTTTGCCTAGACCCCGATGGAATGCACTTTGGGAAACATTAATCCCTAGGAACAAAACCGCTGGAATAAGACACACAGCACAAACATCACAGCCAGGTTTATACCCCGTATTGCTTATTTATCTTGTATAATAAAACCAAGATTCCACTGCACAAAACATTTCTCAACCTGTCCCCCACTCCCCTCTTTGGACAAGGAGGCCATGACCATCACAGGTGGAAGGAAGTACGGTGTTTGCTCTCTGTCCATGTTAACAATGAAAACCATAAGACACCGTTAATCCATTTCTGCATGACTCTCCAGCCATTGGGACCCAAACTCCGATGGTATCAAAAGAGGTTTCCTTACTTGACTGGTTCCCATGACTCCCGCTCAAAGCCCCTGTGAATGGATTGTGCTATGGAGGACTCCATCAAATCCACATATCTAACCACAAGTGGGGCAAACAGGTCTTGCAGGTGTTTGTGAAATTTTCCATTGCACAGATTATCTAGAAGAGATAAGCAAAAGCTTGGTAAGAATCCACAGTTGCTTCATCAGCGAACTATGTACACAATAGAGAGGACTGTCTTCTACATTAAATATACTGCTTCTAAAAAAAAAAAAAAGCCAAAAAGGAGGAGAAGGAGGAAGAGGATGAGGAGGGGGAGAAAGAGAAGAAGAAGAAAAAAGTACAAGAACAGTATCAAAGCTCATGCTTAAATCTGCATGGAAGCAAAACGAAATTCAAACCCTTTTTTCCCATTTGTATCACTCTCCTAAAAAGGAAAAAAAAAAACCCAATTCTCCCTTAAAAAAACGACAAAAGCAGCAACAATTGAGGCTTTTTTTTTAAGGTGTTCTTTGCACCTGCTCCCTTTCTTCCCCTTCAGACACCGGGAAGAAAGAACATTCTGTCCCCCTTCCTTTCTTCATCCATCTCCCCCGGGAGAAGAGTCTCTTTTATGGCCATGTGTTCCCAGAAGATACGTTGAAAGGCTTGGGCTGTTACTTAGCTAGAAATTGTTTTTCATCCAGGAAACGTCTTTTAATAAAAATTCAAAATGGGTAGAAGTTAAGTCAATTCGCTCGTTCGAGAGCAAATAAAACACACAGGCCTGGGTACCACCTTCTCACTGCTCTTGGGTTCTTCTGCCTCGTCAAGAAAGGGCCCCCCGCAACAGGACACTTATTGGAAGAAAGGGCATGTTCGTCAGCTGTAAGTTTTTTTTTTTCTTTTCTGATGCTATTTGACTTTCAGTAGGAAAGCTAACATACAATTATTGGGAAAAACCTTCACATTTGTATGAAAAAAATTAAGTTGCTTATCTCTTTGATAACCTGTTCTTTTCAAGTAGCCTGTAGGAATAATTGTATTTGCACTACATTATCTGCCTACAAATATTTAAATTACATTATATGCATAAATGGACTCATACAACAGTATTATTTACTAACTTGCTTCTCACACTGTCTTTCTGTTGTCAGTACATGAATTTTATTTTAAGAGCATCATTGTAAAGGCTGCATGGTAGTCTAGCCATTTGTTACAAATGATGTTAAAAACAATTCATATTTAAAAAGATCGATCTACTTGTGAGAGTATATTTCCAGAGACCTTGACTTTGAAGGAAGTTACAGGATTTTGTTATGAGACAGCATGTATAACTGAGATGCAGCCTCGAAAGTAGTTTGAAATTTGAAGATGTTAAAGGTTTTAATAAATACAACCCTGTTTCTCCATCACCTGAAGTTTTTTGCTTTTAAAGTAATCTGAAAACTGCGAAGAGCTGTGGCCAGCCTTTTGTCTGCCGAGGGGGATGTTCTGGCCACCTGTTTATCTGCACACTACTTTGGAAAGTCAAACAGTCAAAGATGATACTTACAATTGGTACGGAGAAAGTCATTCAGGAGCTGAAACAGTGGAAAACTGTCCCACGTGTCTGGGGGCTGCACCTCTAACGCGGCGTCCATGTCCACGGCAAAGAGCGAGAGGAACATCTCGGCGTGCTCCACCATCAAGTCTGACCACCACGCGAAGGCCTTTGAAATTTGGCAGAGAAACAACAGACCAAGAGGCGATGAGCATCCATCTCTGACCTCAGACGTGAAGTCAAGCCCTCGCTGTTCAAGACTCATTGTGCATCCAGCAGGGTTTGGTCATTTTATTGTAAAGAGAACAGCATTTTTGGATACAATTGGGCCTCGATGTGTCCCAAGGTGATGCTTCTCATGACTCCAGGCCTGCCTTAGGAAGTCCTTTTTCTGACCTACCGGTCAGAGGACGCAGCTGGAGAAATGACAGGCGTGGAACTTCTGTTCAATTTACAATAACTCAGTATGTTTGGAGTCATGCTCTTTATCACTCGTGTCGGCTAGTTCTTGCTCTAAGGTATTAGAATTTGGGAGTTTCTTCACTGTGTTTATGGGTTTTCTGCTGGTCTAACTTGAAAATTGGCAATTAGTATTTACTTATCTCTACGCATCTGGGGCTTAATTGTCTGCGGTCTCACATAGGCTCAGCAACTCATGTTTCCCTACACGATGGAAATGTTACTCCTATTTCAGACCAAGGCGAAGGCAACCATGGTTGCAATTGTCACAGACTTTGGAGGTGGAGTCTCTTGCAGCAGGGAGCCTCTGGTTTTGCATCCTGTTTGTAGGAAAGCTCAGGCTGAAGCTAGGAGACACTCAGTAAGAGTAGGACTTACTTTTCTGAGGGTTGGACACATATGTACATTGAAAACCAAAAATATCAGTGAAGTAACTCATTTTCATGCACGTGGGTCCTTGGAAATCACTGTGCAGGGTCTCAGAGGTGACATTCACATCGGATGGGCCAGATGTGAATGCAGTTCAAAGGCATGCATGCATGTTGACTTGTCAGTTCTGGCAGGGAGCATGCAGAATGAGTGGCGGTGTCAACAGGCCCTTTTTATTTTTTATTTTTTGCTGATTTCAAAGAGAGCAGAAAAACAAAAAACAAATTGCCAGCTCCATCTTGTCCCCCGCCTCCCCACCCAGTGCCGTAAAGTATTTACATGGGAAACACTTTCCGGAGCATTCACCAAAAGAAAAAGAAAAAAAAAGAAAAAAAAAAGAAAAAGAAAAAGAAAGAAAACAAGAAAAGAAAAAAAAAAGATGGGAAGGCATTTGGAAACATGAAAGATGATTATGGAAATAATTCCATAAATGAGGGAGTTTGCTCAATGGCCAAGCTCTTCTGTGATCTATTAGTTATTGGGGGATATTCTAACAGCCACCAGGAGGCAGAATAGGGGTCCACCTCTCTTCTTTCATGAGACTTCATTTTACTTACTTCTCCTTTATCAACAGGTGGCTGGTTTGCAAATTAAATGGAAAAAATCAAGTCATGGACCATTCTGCAAGGTCAGCTTGGCTGGAAATAGACACCTGCTGTTTCCGTTCTAATTTACAGTAAAACCTCACTGATTCAGAGTGATAGGAGAAGAGAGATGCTGGTCCACTAGCAGAAAACAACCTAAATTGCTGGGCTTTCTAAAAAAAGAGAAATATCATTTTGCTGCTTTCCAATGCAGTCCGTACTTGGGCACCAAAGAAAAAGGTATTCATTGGTTATCATATAAATGTACCATAAAAGTAAAAGTTTTTTTTTAAACTTCTAATAGGCATAGATAAGTTGGCCTCTAAGTTGAAGTCAAGGAGATGGAAGCTTTCATTTCATGGATCCTGGGATGAAACTGGGAAGAAGAGCCTTCAGAATTTCTAGAGAACGTTGAAATCCCATCAAACATCTCACTTAAGAGAAATTAAACGAGCCTGATCTGCAACTGAACTGTCACAAATTACAAGTACTTGGGTCTGAATCAATGAGGTTTTACTGTGTAGTTTTACCCCCTGGGACGAGAGCCCTCGGGGTTTGGGGCTTGCTCCGTGATCTGGCTAAATCTGGCAGAGAAAGAAACCGTCCATCCACCCCCAGAGCTCTTAGCCGTGTCACTCAGGGCAGGGTCCTTCCGAATATTAAAACTTGCTGGAGTTCCACTTGCAGCCCCCGACCCCAACCCTACATGGAGGGCTGACTCTCGTTAGTCCTGATGCACGATATTTGCGAAATTCACACCGATATTGGCTGGTACTTATTCTTTAGTTATTTGATCCATTTTACATCTTCAGGGTGAGTCCAAGAAAACAGTTACTGGGGAGACTCAACTGCCTTCCCAGACACAATTTTGCTCCAGGATGACAGGAAAAAAGAAAAAACAAAAACAAAAAACAGACACAAAATGAAACGAAACAAAACAAAACGAAACAAAACAGCTACTCCTAAATGCCTGAAATTAAACATTTCTCAGCCCAACCTCATACCTGGCTCTTAACAGCTTTATTGGGAAAGTTGCAAACCAGAGGCCATTAGAAGCACTCATTTCTGCTACCTACAGAAAACTCAGTCCCTTGTTAGAAGTTGATAAATTATTGAGCAATGATCTAAGTTGCTGCATTAATAGTCAGACAGGTAGGCAGCCCTGCGAAGAACATTGACTATGGTGACACGAAATATCACCACTGATGCCTGGCAGAGAAACTCAGGTGAAGTCCTAGCTAAGGAAGAGACTTTAAATAGGGGGTTATCAGAGAAATGAAGTCCAAATTTATTTTTCTGCACCTAAGGTAATTCTTTCAGAACCTCATAATCAAATGTGGCTCTCTGAGAAGGAGAAAAAGATTCTGGCAAGGGCAGTAACCATCAAAAAAGCCACTATCATCATTTTAATCAAATGAACAGAGTCTGTGTGTCTGGGTTGGGCCAGGCCAAGCTTCAAAATAAAATCACCACCACCACAATTATATGTATTTATTTTATCCTTGCTCATACAGGTGAATGCTATTTTTTGCACACGAGTTAACTCAATGTTTACGGGCGTCTAATGTCTTCGGAAATCTTTTCCAAACACAAGGAGCTGTATTTTGGCTTCTAAATACTTACCCAGGGCTTTTCATTATTTAAAGGCAAAGATGTATGCTTTTGGAGCACAGTCAACCACATGGAACACACTGTATATTCTGTACACAAACTACATGTATATATGTACCCCCTGTGTACCACAATACATATATACATATACATACGTATACATAGAGAGAGAGATTGGCAAAGTGAAGCAACGGGACGTGAAGGCATAATTCCTTGTGTGCGTGCATGTGTGTGTGTGCGCGCATAACTCAGGCTCTAAGAGAATTAAGCTGTAATTGAGAGAGACGTGCGACAACTGTGTATGTGTGTATATGACGTAGTCTTAGTTGGTGGGAATTTTTTTCTCCTGCAACATTGCATGACTTTATATTGGACTTGAAAATGGTTTTAAGGATTATTATTATTATTATTATATTATGTTATTATTATTTTATTATTTTTTTTTCAGGGAGGCAATTCTCCTCATCACTTTTATTTGCATGGTGCCACCAAACAGCATGACCGCACAGCCAAGATCCACGCTGAGGATGGAGTGATTTTCTAGAGTTTCTTGAGCACCCAGAGAAGATGGCAGTGAGGACTGGCCAGTAGAGAAAAACATTTCATACTTCATCCTTTCGGGAGGAAAACCTCGTCCTCAGTGTGTCAGGGCCAGTTCTACTTCTTTGCTTGCAGCCCCAGGGGCCCTTCACCCGGCTTTCTTCCCCTGGAATCAGCTGGGCCATTTAAAAAATTACCAATCTTCGGCCCCTTCCTAAGAGATTCCAATTCATTGAGCTGGGGTGACATCGGGGCATCAGGAAAACTGAGGAAATACCTTCTTTGGAATCATTTTTAAAAGCTTCCCAGGTGGTTGCAGTCTGTACGTGAGCGCTGAGAACAGGGGGTGGTGACTTTCCGGGCCACTCTACCTGGAAACCAGCCCAACCTCCTTTCAACATATCCTGACTGTATCATTCGCTTGGTACTTTCCACGTAGGTTTTATCCCTCTTTAGGATGACATGCTTATATATTTTGCTTCCTTAGCAATTTGTTTCTATTAAGACAAGAGCCAAGCTTTGCCGAGTGCTCACTGCGTACCGAGCCTAACCCCAGATGCATTATTATTGGCCTTCCATCCTGACAACCATCTGTGGTGCAGTCTGACTGTCTCCAATTTATGGATTAAAAGAGGTTAAGTAACTAGGTTGAGGTCACAAAGCAAGAAACAGGCCAAGCTGGACTTCAAAGTCAACCCAGAGCCGGAACTCCTAGCCACGCTGCATTCTACTGCCTCGAGGCCAAGCCTGCCTGTGCCTCCTTGTCCAACAAGAAAGCGCTGAGGTGGCTTCCCCAGCACTCAGCAGATGGGTAGTTTTTGACCGATTAAGTAATGAGATCCTGTGATTGGGTGAGACGACTAATTCAAGAAATAATCCTGTACATTTTTCTCAAAGCAAACTGGGTGTCTGAATTCCAAAGTGTGCTGAAGTTTTCATCCCTAACTTCTAAAGCCAGCAAAGGAGAACAGAAGTGATTTTATTTCCACCCTATTTTGAATTGGTAAGATTAGAACATTTTTGTGATGATGGTTACTTTAAGATGGTGATTAGGACTTAGTGAAAAAAGGGATTTTTTTTTTGAAAAGCTAAAAAAATACCTTCTTTGGAATATCAGCTTTTCTTTGGTACCTCTTGTGAGTAATTTGGAAAAATATCCATCCTTTCCTAGCCTGCTGTGCCTTCAGAAAATAACTTGAAAACAAGTACATGTGTCACTTTTCTTCTTCCACTAGTCACTTAAGGAACAACTAACTATAAATGAGGGAAACCATCTTCTTTGTACCCGTATCTTCAAAAATTTGGTTTGGCATCTTGGGAAAAGCCTCAACCACAAATCGAGGGAGGGCTGGCCAGACCCCTCCACGCGTCTGGAGACGACGGTGTGGACACCCAGAAAAGAACACACTTACCATCACTTGAACCCCAGATGCCCTCAACCTGAAAAGAACATTGTAGAGGAAAGAGTAGAAAAAAAAAATTCTAGCCCAGTTAATGTCATGTCTGAAGGTGAGTCCTATGTTGCTACGGTTGGAGGGTGTTGATTTTGGCCCCTCTTCTCACTCCTGGCTGTGCATCTGCTGGGTGCTGTAGGAGCCGGTTACACCTGCCGCGAGGGGTCCTCACCCCTGGCTCAGAGGGCTTTCGGGGACATGGTGCTTCTTTGGCACTCTCTCTATATATAAATACTGTATATGTGATTCACATACAGACAGCTGTAGAGGAAGATTAGTGTCACTCTGGCTAGCGACGGGTTACCACGGTCGGTACTCCATCTGCTGCGATCAAGGGAAGTACAGACGGACATAGGAGCCACGACAGGCTAAGGGGACGGAATCAAGGCAGGTAGGAGGCGTGTGTTGGGATGTAACTGCAGTCGTTGGTAGGTATACCAGTTGCTTCATGCACGCACAAGAGAATCACCCACGTTTCCCCTGCCGTGGAGGGCCACCCACTCATTTCACAAGCAGTCCACTGGACATCGCTGTTACATTCCTCGGGTCAGTGTTAGGAAGCAGGAGCACCGGGAGGAGTCCCCATTAGAAGACATGGTACCGGAAGGGCATGCACAGACTACGACAGCAGGGGGCTGACTCATTCGTTTCGGTCACATACCTCTTTCCCCTGCCACGATCAGCCAAGATTGAACGGAACAGTAGAGAAACAGGGAGGAAATTTAAATATGCAATCAGGCATTAGTCGTGACGACTGGCTTTATGGTGTGTTATATACTATTTAACTATACTGCCAATTCTCATTTAGTCACGGGAATGATCATTTTAGGTGCTTCTGAAATTACTTGTATTGAAGGCTCCCCCCTCCTTTTCTCCCCTCTTGCTGTAGGTGTGATTGGAGAGGAAGAGTGAGAATTCGTTTTCCAAAAGGCGATTTTAAAAGAGGATTTTCAATCTCTCCGTCTTGAAACAAGCAGTGATTTAACAGTTTGATCATAATGAAAACGTAGAACCTTTTCTTGGAAGGGTTGGGTTGTTTAAGTCCATACAGGTTTGGGATTTAGTTAGCCCTGAAATCCCTCGGTTTATAATTATGATCAAAATAATCATTTTGACAGCGGTTGAGGAAAAAAGTAAGCTATATCTAGATGTATGCTGGAGAATCAACAAGTTGAACAACACAGAGTTAACTAGGTTCTGTCACTGCGTTTGGCATCCCAGGAACAAAGGCAACTCCAGTGCAGGCAGGACTAAAGTTACGGAGATAAATTCAAAAACATGGCTCTCAATCCACACACCAAATAAAATAAATCAAAACAACAGCGGTGGCAACAGAAACAACCACAGAAGACCAAAAAGTATTTCATGTGTTCCGGACAATAACCGTATGTTGCCTGAATAATCATCTTGAAAACATACTCACCTCTTCGACTGGTTGCTAGGAACATCTGAAAACTTACGCTGAAACGTACAACAATGCAACCCCTCTCTGGTTGTTTTAAACAACCTTCCGAAGGCTCCTGCTCGAAAAGCTTCCACTTTCGTTCTCTTTCCAAGGCCAGTTAAAAGAAAATGGGTGTTAAAGCATCTCTCTCACAAGGTCACTGGTAGAATCAGGTCTGCGCCCTCAGCTAAGGGACACCAAGGGACATCGCCCTCCACGCTCGCTTACCTCCGCGTGGTGTTCCTCGTTCTGTTGGAGAACTTCAATGACTAGTTCAGCAAGACGTATTGTGTCTTCCAGCTTTTTGGCAGGAGTGATTAACCGGCCTACATTTTCTGTAGTACAAGAATGTGTGTTACAATTCAGCAAAAGCGTCAGGCTGGTTTTTGCGGCCACTAGAACTAGTGGATAAGAAATTCCAAATAGTTACCAAGTTCTTAAAAAGTTTCATGCAGATGTTAAGTGCCACATAATTAGTAGTGAGCAAACCATAAAGCCATTTTATTATGATGATGATCGCCATCATTTATAATAATACGGATTAAGAAAAAGTAGTGCTCCAGCTTCAGACGTGCTTAGCAAGCTGTATAAAGACTATGACAGCCCGTTTCAAATTTAGCGACATTTGTACCCATGTTCTTTAAAGACAGCATAAACGTACTATCTTGTATCACTCTCTAGACAGTGTCCGTGCTACCGGAAGTGGGAAGATGTAACGGAAGCTTGGTCTTGATTGCTGCTACTTTTGTTTCCTGAATTTGTCCCTAAATATTTGATACTTCAGAATTGTTTTTCATCATAGGTCTGCATGTTTCATAGGTATTGGAATGTTTATTAAAAAAAAGGAGACTCAAAGGTCTGGCTGTTTTAAGTTGTCCAGGGAGGAGGCTGATAATTAATGGACTTTCCGAGCCATCAGGGAGGAGGCAGGATAGAATTATGAAGCGTGCTGGCTGCATATTACTGGACGAAGCGCTCTGTGCCACTGGCTGGTACAGCTGACATGTTATCAGTTAGGTGGCAACAAAATATCCCGATTTTTTGTTTTAGTTTCTGTTGCATTGAAAGGGCTTTTATCTGACTCAAGAACAAACTGAACTCTGGTTTCTGTTGTATTCTTTATGAAGCTAAATTCCTGAAGGTTTGGCAATGTCATTATGTTACCAAAAATTATAATTATTTTTCCTGGGGTGGGGGGCAAGAGTAGTATTTGAAACGTAAAAGTTTTCTCAGCCAATGAAATGGCCTGAATTCAGTCTAAACTCACAGGAGAACGTGTATTTCATGCTTAGACCCCTCCAGACTTTGATGCCTCAGAGTCATTCAGAGCCCATGGTGGGTAACAGAAATAAGGGTCCTTTAGCCCGATTCTGTAGGGAGGTATACACATGCATAGAAGCATGGCTAAAACTTACTTTCATCTCTTTATCTGAAGCAGATATGCTTTGGTTTCAGGGTTTTTTTCTTGCTAGAGAAGGTCACTCAATACTTCACAGGAAGGGCTGGTTTCTTGTTGCTGGTTTAATTTTTGTGTATGTATGTGTGTCGGGGAGTAAACAAAATTGTAGGAGATTGCTAACTAAAAAAACAAACAGCTCCTCATCATTGTCCCCTTGTGCGTTTGTTAAATAGGGGGCAAACATGTCAGATGATTCATAATTTAGTATCTGATAACAAAAAACAAGTTCAGTGCAACAGTATCCAGAGTGGTCCAGCCAGTGGGTCCTAAGAGTGATGGATAGAACTGGATAAGATTATTGAAGTGTAGAATGTCTCACTCTACTACGGCTTGATGACTGGGGTGAAAAAGGGGCTTTCTGGACTCAGACCAATGGAATGCTCCATTGTCTCTGCCAGCCTTGAGGGGGTGGGAAATGTGACTGGGTTCCAGGTTAGGACATGAAGGTGGGATCCACAGGGGAACAAATCAGCAGATTAGGCGGAGAAAATCCAACACTCAAAGTAAGGGGATGTGCAGAGCTTAGGGGCTGACAGCTCGTTGCCTGGTCCAGAGTGATCAATATTTGGAGAAAGAATGAGTGACAAGATTGATTTCCGTGCTTCTGGGGTACCTGGTCTGATTATAATTTCGTCAATGAACTAACAGAATTTCATGAGTAGCCTTTCAGGCATTTCTACAAACATACTGTGTATATATGTTGGGGTAATATGTGTAGAATGAGGTATTTGCATTTTGATAGTAAATAGGCAGAGGCTACTAGTTTTTGGTTAGTTGATACTCACATTTACACATCAATTTGCAAATTCCTCATCCTATGCTTATTACCCATTTGACACATACACTCACATACACACATCACACACTTACATACATTTTCTAGTAACCAGGCAAGCCTGCCCATTAACACAAATCTGCAGGAAATCCCACTTGGGGCACATCTTTGAAATCTCTTACTTTGAAAAAGACAGAACGTTGTCCTTTCCGGAGAGACACTCACCAAATCCAGGGGAATTCTGCCTGTACGCGATGCGTGATGTAGAAGTGGAAATAATTCCCATCAGTATTTTTAGGTACTTTTATTTAAAAAGCTGTAGATGATTTTTGTGTTTGGAGAGATCCAAGATGCGTAAGCTGGGACCACCTGAAGATCTGTTTTAATATGCAGGGCTCTTAGACTGACTACAATATATATCAATAGATACACATAAAGTGTACGTGTGCACACAGTCATTCTATGAGTGTGTACACATGCACGCTGATATGTGTATGCCTCA